GTATATGTTTTGTAAAAGTTCAATCTTTCTTCTTATTTAGCTGTTATAAATTATCTTCAGTTTTTTGTAAGATGCTTTCCAGTCAAACATTTATTTCCATTGGTAACTTAAGCCACATTTATTTGCAATGGGAATTTTTGCTGTGGTCAATTTAGCTGTCTATGATTTTGTAATTTTTCCAGTCTTATATCACCTAATTTGTGACTTCAAGACACAAGACTACAACTTATTAACAGCAAGTTTCCAATAGAAAATGTATAGTATTAGTGGTTGTGAGAATTCCTCAAAAATATTCCATGTTCAACAGGACAAGCAGGCCATTCAACCAGACTGAATTTAAGGCATAACCCACTGGGCACAGATGTCAGTTTAACGTCTTGTTTGGATTTACATTTGGTTGAGTTTTCAACTAACGTGAAATCAACAAAACATTTCACTATGTCATTGGATTCAGGTAAAAAGTTGGGTGAAAAAAGACAAAATGCTGATGTTGATGATGTTTTGCAAATCCAGTCAGTTTTCCACGTTGATTCAACGTCAGCACATTGATTCATTTGGTTGAAATGACATGGAAACAACGTTGATTCATCCAGTTTTTGGGAAGCCTCGGACTAGAGGTCTTCACGGGTCCAACCGAACCCGAATACCCGAGACCCGACCCAGGACCGGGTCCAAAATTCAAACTTTCCCCTCGGGTCTGGGTTGGGTCCTGTTTGATTGTCATCAGGTCTCGGGTCTATCATAGGGGCGGGAAGATGGGGCACCGCAGAAAAAAATGTTTTGCTGACGCTACAGATGGCTATATCGGTCTGCTAATACAGGACTAGTAAAGGCCCAGTGCACTAATTTTTCAAATTGTTTATTTTTATTTGTTTTGTTCTGATTTTTCAGGGGGTGCTGCGGCACCCTCTGTACTCCTACTTACTGCGGCTATAGGGTCTATGTAACTACAGCAGATAGACCCAAGTGGACCCGACCACAGCGCTGCACAGAATATAGCATATTTATTTTACGCTAATACAGTGAATTTATTGACTTATAGAAGGCCTAGCCAACATATAAAGACCTATTCGTTAACCAGAAGAGCAACTTGGCTGATAAAAATAAATGTGTCACTCGGGTCCAATCAGGTCTGGTTTACATCCGGACCCGTTAGGGTTTGGGTCGTGTCTAGGTCTGGTTGTCGTCGGGTCCGTTCAGGTCAATATCCAACTATTTTGACCTGAGAAGACCTCTACCTGGACTACTGCTTATTTTTTAAACTCAGTTAAGGCACAAGTTATAGTAAAGTGACCAGCAAACATTATAACATTGTGGCCTAAAAAAGTTATGTACTACTGTATATAGTATACATAGGCCTACTGTTTTCATTTTTTTAGTCCCTGTCCTACAGTCATTTTTTCACATCCCTACAATGAAGTTCTTGTGTGCCACTGTCTGCGAGAAGCCACAGAAATGCCTTGGGCAGGAGCAGGAGACGTCATGGATTCCTGAGTGTGGGCTTTGCAGGAAAGCCCTGAGTCTCCGAGATGGAGCCATTCCAGGTTTCCATGGCAAAGCGCATAAACAGGAGGAAACACTGAGGGAATCCCGTTATTTTACAGCATTGGACCATTATAAACACCCAGAGCAGGGAAGGAAGTCGCTCTTGATACTCAAATAATCCTTAGAGCAAGGAAAAGAAGTTCAAACCATAACCATAGCTTGCTGGAGTCTATTTTAGCTCCATGTTTTTTAACTTATAAAGGAGTATTTGAAGTCTAATACTTCATTTTTATTTTGCCTTTGTTTTATGCAAGTGGGTTTCTACTGATATGATAGGAGAATAGTTTTTCATTTTTATAGATTTTTTTAAACGTTATTTTCAAATGTTTAGAGAATCTTGGAGACGGGCACAGTACCACACCATGAGGTCGATGGATCAAGGTATGGATGCCGCGTGCTGAATTGTGATAAGCTGGTAATTTATAAAACCTATTGATTTTCGAGTAGCTTAGTCCTGGACATGTGTTGATGTATAATTTTACATTGTATAATCCACAAAATAAGGTATATTGACTGTGTAGTTGTATATATCGTATGTGGTATATCTGACAGTCAGTTAGTGGTTTGAGTATCTAATTTATGCACATGAGTTGATCAGCCTATACCATGGTGATTCCGCTATTAGCCTACATGCCCTGGACAGCCGTGAGGGGAACACTAGCGCTATGTAAGGTAGGCTACGCTACTGCAGTTGTAGGCTTTACGTCATCGTAGTCACATGAAAATTAGGCTTCAGGTTGTAATAGATTACATTTATGAACAGTATTGGCTATAACATAACTATTAAAATAAAACATTCATAACTGTAGGCTATAATGAGCAGTAAGGTATCAAAATTCATACTAACACTATAAGCTAAATATGTATAATAGGCATTGTTACACGTTACCTAAAGTCTATGGGATCGGACATGGTAAAACATTTGCATTATGAATTGTGACTGATATGTGCACGCGCTCAGTGCGTCCTGTGGAGTTCATCTTCTATGTTGACAATACCAAGGCAAGGTGTGTATGGCTATTGAACAGTTTGGTTTGGGATGATTAAGGACTTGATTCAACCTGCGTAGCTGATGTTTTGGCGGTGTCGGGAGGTGGAACTGCTTTGGACGGAGCTGTCAAATCGGTGAGCAGCTGCTCGTGTGATCGCTGTCTCTAACCCATACCCATCCCACTCGCGTTAGAAGTTCACAACGAGAAAGTGTAGGCTATATAGAAATAATGACCCTCAAATGGAAAATAATTAAATGAAATTATGTGTAGATTACATCTCACATTCCAGTGTTCGAATTGATAAACAAGGCTGCATGGGATTTCTCTCAATGCTACTCGGTGCAGACATGGCAATATAATGCGGGAGTAGCTTGTAGATTTGACAGCTCTACGCAGTTCCACCTCCCACACTTTCAAAACATCAGCTATGCGGATTTTGGCTAAAGCAGATCTGATTGAATCGGGCCCTTCATGTCATAAATTATAAAAATGTGTAGGCTATTTTTTTTTAAAAGCCATTTGACACATTTCTGCTATCAAGGCATTATTAGGGTGCACCTTCATTTTTGCATGGTACTCTTGTTCAGGTATTCCTGTTAGGAGCAATTAGGACCCCCACTAAACGTTCACAATATAGCTATTGTGGTATGGTGTTATGACAAGATGTTATTACAATGCTATAACTATACAATGGTTGTTATAGCTGATACAGTAGGGTTTGCAGGGGTAATAACTACACATGGTCTTAAGCTTGTTCCACTTGTTTAGACAGAAGGAGCATAGGTTGAGGTTTAAATTATGGCAATCTGTCAACTTTTCTCTAGCCCTAGCTAGATCTTTCTGTGCTGTTTTACAATCTCCAATGTTCATTGTCATGCCAAACCACAAACTGATCCAGGACCAGCAGGCCAGCTCGCTCAATTTAATTGAGATCAGGGTCCATATGCATAAAGCGTCTGAGAGAAGGATCGACGTGCTAATCAAGGATCCGTTCCCCTTGTCCTTATAAGCACGTGTATGGCGTCGTGTGGGAGAGTGGTTTGCTGATGTGAACGTTGTGAACAGAGTGCCCCATGGTGGCGGTGGGGTTATGGTATGGGCAGGCATAAGCTACGGACAACGAACATAATTGCATTTTATCCATGGCAATTTGAGGTGCCGTGACATGATCCTGAGGCCCATTGTTGTGCCATTCATCCGCCGCCATCACCTCATGTTTCAGCATGATAATGCACGACCCCATGTTGCAAGGATCTGTACACAATTCCTGGAAGCTGAAAATGTCCCAGTTCTTCCATGGCCTGCATACTCACCAGACATGTTACCCATTGATCATGTTTGGGATGTTCCAGTTCCCGCCAATATCCAGCAACTTCACAAAGCCATTGAAGAGGAATGGGACAACATTCCACAGGCCACAATCAACAGCCTGATCTACTCTATGCAAAGGAGACATGTCGCGCTGCATGAGGCAAATGGTGGTCACACCAGACACTGACTGGTTTTCTGATCCATGCACCTACCTTTTTTTAAGGTATCTGTGACCAACAGTCATGTGAGATCCATGATTAGGGCCTAATGAATTTATTTTAATTGACTGATTTCCTTATATGAACTGTAACTCAGTAAAATCTTTGAAATTGTTGCATGTTGCGTTTATATTTTTGTTCAGTGTAGTTTATAAAGGGTTTAAAAGTAATTCATGTATTAATTTATTCATTAGAATATAGACCATACCAGTGAACAAACATAAAAATACTGAAAAAAAGTAATTCATAATTCATTTTATGTATTGACTCATTGATACAGCATCTGTGTTGATGGGTGAAAATGCTCTGATGCTCATCCAGTAAACCCCTACGCATGGCAATTATCGTATCTTACTGTAACTGAATTCAAACTGTAAATATATTGTGCACAATAATAGCCTACAGTATAGCTACTTGCCTACTTGGGCACAATATATTTACAGTTTGAATTCAAAGTTACAGTAAGATACATAGCCTATATATGTCATGCGTAATTGCTTGGTGCCAAACACCCGGGGGCAGCAGCACATTACTGATGCAACTCGTCACTATGAAGTTGTGCACCTGCAGCTGTTCTGTCAGTGATCATAGGGAGGCATGATCACACCGCCTTTGACACCTTGCATCGTATTTATTTATGTTATGAAAATAGACACGCCTTATCTCAACATGCGGTTAAAGTTTGAAACAGGAAGCTTTAGCTGCTATTAAGTTTCTGCTCGTACTTTTCAAAGCTTTTTACTGATGCATCAGGGGCGCATCATCGTTTCAATCGAGCAAGTAAATAGTCTCCCATAGCCTCTCCACCTCCAACGCCTCTGACATCGCATGGCCTTAGTGGATAAAGACAACAGCCAGCGTAACTTCATTGATTCTACAAACGATCTATATTTCCTTTTGTTTTTATCATAAGTAAACTGATTAAATAAGACAGATGAGCTCGTTTTACGACGGAAAATACCCTAGTGAGTTAGGGTTGGAAGAGGAACTGAGTCAAGTGAACTGCCAAGATGAGTTGGAGTTTGATTACCTGTTTGAATACGAACCACCTTGCCACAACATTCCCGGGGAACATCAAGGTTTGTCAAGTCTCCCACGAGCTTTTCAACTTTTATATGCGTTTTAGTACTTTAATGACGAAAATTACTTCTTACACTATGTTCTTCTCTCAAAAACGTTTAATTCAATGTCATAATTGAAAACAAATAGACAGGAAGTAATTTTGACAGAATGTTATTTTCCTTCCACTTCTACACTACCTGTCAAAAGTTTTAGAACACCTACTTATTCAAGGGTTTTTCTTTATTTGTATTATTTTCTACATTGTAGAATAATAGTGAAGACATCAAAACTATGAAATAACACATATGGAATCATGTAGTAACCAAAAAAGTCTTAAACAAATCAAAATATATTTTATATTTGAAATTATTCAAATAGCCACCCTTTGCCTTGATGACAGCTTTGCACACTCTTGGCATTCTCTCAACCAGCTTCATGAGGTAGTCACCTGGAATGCATTTCAATTAACAGGTGTGCCTTCTTAAAAGTCAATTTGTGGAATTTCTTGCCTTCTTAATGCGTTTGAGCCAATCAGTTGTGTTGTGACATGGTAGGGGTGGTATACAGAAGAAAGCCCTATTTGGTAAAAGACCAAGTCCATATTATGGCAAGAACAGCTCAAATAAGCAAAGAGAAACGTCAGTCCATCATTACTTTAAGACATGAATGTCAGTCAATTCGGAAAATGTCAAGAACTTTGAAAGTTTCTTCAAGTGCAGTCGCAAAAACCATCAAGCGCTATGATGAAACTGGCTCTCATGAGGACCACCACAGGAATGGAAGACCCAGAGTTACCTCTGCTGCAGAGGATAAGTTCATTAGTGTTACCAGCCTCAGAAATTGCAGCCCAAATAAATGCTTCACAGAGTTCAAGTAACAGACACATGTCAACATCAACTGTTCAGAGGAGACTGTGTGAATCAGGCTTTCATGAAACCACTACTAAAGAACACCAATAAGAAGAAGAGACATGCTTGGGCCAAGAAACATGAGCAATGGACATTAGACCGGTGGAAATTTGTCCTTTGGTCTGGAGTCCAAATGTGAGATTTTTGGTTCCAACCGCTGTGTCTTTGTGAGACACGGTGTGGGTGAACGGATGATCTCTGCATGTGTATTTCCCACCGTAAAGCATGGAGGAGGAGGTGTTATGGTGTGGGGGTGCTTTGCTGGTGACACTGTCAGTGATTTATTTAGAATTCAAGGCGCACTTAACCAGCATAATAATATAATATGCCATTTAGCAGACGCTTTTATCCAAAGCGACTTACAGTCATGCGTGCATACATTTTTGTGTATGGGTGGTCCCGGGGATAGAACCCACTACCTTGGCGTTACAAGCGCCGTGCTCTACTACAGCATTCTGCAGCGATACGCCATCCCATCTGGTTTGGGCTTAGTGGGACTATCATTTGTTTTTTAACAGGACAATGACCCAACACACCTCCAGGCTGTGTAAGGGCTATTTTACCAAGAAGGAGAGTGATGGAGTGCTGCATCAGATGACCTGGCCTCCACAATCCCCCGACCTCAACCCAATTGAGATGGTTTGGGATGAGTCGGACGGCAGAGTGAAGGAAAAGCAGCCAACAAGTGCTCAGCATATGTGGGAACTCCTTCAAGACTGTTGGAAAAGCATTCCAGGTGAAGCTGGTTGAGAGAATGCCAAGAGTGTGCAAAGCTGTCATCAAGGCAAAGGGTAGCTATTTGAAGAATCTCAAATATAAAATATATTTTGATTTGTTTAACACTTTTTGGGTTACTACATGATTCCATATGTGTTATTTCATAGTTTTGAAGTCCTTCACGGTGTAGTGTGTTACCAATTGTTTTCTTGGTGACTATGGTCCCAGCTGCCTTGAGATCACTATTATTCTACAATGTAGAAAGTACTAAAAATTAATAAAAACCCTTGAATGTGTAGGTGTTCCAAAACTTTTGACCGGTAGTGTGGTTCTAGTAAACATTACTAAAAATAAATAAAAATGTTGACAAAAATGATACGATTGATCCTGTATTTCTTATGCATGTTTGTATACATTGTATAATCACACTGTAAAATAAGATGTTGATTAAATTGTAAGGCAACCAGCTGCAACAGGATTGTGAGTTGGCTCAACATTTGGACATATAGCTGAACCAACATACATTCTCAAGTTGAATTGTATGGTCAATCTACTTATAATTTTAGGTTGAGTGACCATACAATTCAACTTCAGAATTTATTTGACCTTATTTGCATATTTCCCAGTGTGCCTTGCCTTTTGAGTGAATTGTACTTACCACCTATGACTGTATTTGTTAGCAACAGAGACAATGGCTTTCAGTCCTGTAGCATTACCAAGTGAGTGTCTAAGTGAATATGTTATCTTTACAATTAAACTCTTTATGACAATACATTACATATGGCCTTTCTTTGACGGCCTAGCTACATTACATATGGCCTTTCTTTGACGGCCTAGCTACATTACGTATGGCCTTTCTTTGAGGGCCTAGCTACATTATATATGGCCTTTCTTTGAGGGCCTAGCTACAGTGAGGGAAAAAAGTATTTGATCCCTGCTGATTTTGTACGTTTGCCCACTGACAAAGAAATGATCAGTCTATAATTTTAATGGTAGGTTTATTTGAACAGTGAGAGACAGAATAAAAACAACAAAAATCCAATAAAACGCATGTCAAAAATGTTATAAATTGATTTGCATTTTAATGAGGGAAATAAGTATTTGACCCCCTCTCAATCAGAAAGATTTCTGGCTCCCAGGTGTCTAGGAGCACACTCTTAAAGGGAGTGCTCCTAATCTCAGTTTGTTACCTGTATAAAAGACACCTGTCCACAGAATCAATCAATCAATCAGATTCCAAACTCTCCACCATGGCCAAGATCAAAGAGCTCTCCAAGGATGTCAGGGACAAGATTGTAGACCTACACAAGGCTGGAATGGGCTACAAGACCATCAGCAAGCAGCTTGGTGAGAAGGTGACAACAGTTGGTGCGATTATTCGCAAATGGAAGAAACACAAAAGAACTGTCAATCTCCCTCGGCCTGGGGCTCCATGCAAGATCTCACCTCGTGGAGTTGCAATGATCATGAGAACGGTGAGGAATCAGCCCAGAACTACACGGGAGGATCTTGTCAATGATCTCAAGGCAGCTGGGACCATAGTCACCAAGAAAACAATTGGTAACACACTACACCGTGAAGGACTGAAATCCTGCAGCGCCCGCAAGGTCCCCCTGCTCAAGAAAGCACATATACATGCCCGTCTGAAGTTTGCCAATGAACATCTGAATGATTCAGAGGAGAACTGGGTGAAAGTGTTGTGGTCAGATGAGACCAAAATGGAGCTCTTTGGCATCAACTCAACTCGCCGTGTTTGGAGGAGGAGGAATGCTGCCTATGACCCAAAGAACACCATCCCCACCGTCAAACATGGAGGTGGAAACATTATGCTTTGGGGGTGTTTTTCTGCTAAGGGAACAGGACAACTTCACCGCATCAAAGGGACGTCAAATCTTGGGTGAGAACCTCCTTCCCTCAGCCAGGGCATTGAAAATGGGTCGTGGATGGGTATTCCAGCATGACAATGACCCAAAACACAAGGCCAAGGCAACAAAGGAGTGGCTCAAGAAGAAGCACATTAAGGTCCTGGAGTGGCCTAGCCAGTCTCCAGACCTTAATCCCATAGAAAATCTGTGGAGGGAGCTGAAGGTTTGAGTTGCCAAACGTCAGCCTTGAAACCTTAATGACTTGGAGAAGATCTGCAAAGAGGAGTGGGACAAAATCCCTCCTGAGATGTGTGCAAACCTGGTGGCCAACTACAAGAAACGTCTGACCTCTGTGATTGCCAACAAGGGTTTTGCCACCATTACTAAGTCATGTTTTGCAGAGGGGTCAAATACTTATTTCCCTCATTAAAATGCAAATCAATTTATAAAATTTTTGACATGCGTTTTTCTGGATTATTTTTTTGTTATTCTGTCTCTCACTGTTCAAATAAACCCATAATTAAAATTATAGACTGATCATTTCTTTGTCAGTGAGCAAACGTACAAAATCAGCAGGGGATCAAATACTTTTTCCCCTCACTGTGCGTCCTAACACAGTGGTCTGAAACTCCTGGTTCAAGTTTCACTACTGGTTTACAGTAGTGATGTGCAGGTCGCGAACGATTCATTTTTTTTAACAACTATTTTTACTGACTGTAGATTCTTGATTCTTTTTGCTGAGTGACTCGTTCATTTTAGTCATTTGTTTGACCTGCTGGCCGCAATGAATTCCAGGCATAAGATTGATTTATTGAAACTGTAATATCAACTGATTATAATATATTGTGGAACACAATCTTTAAAAAAGGGACAGTAACCTCAGCAGTGGCACTTGCTTGTAGAAGCCTACGCAATGGCATAGCCTTGTTTTGTTATATAATATTAGGTTTTGGTTGAAGATCTGATAACATTCAGTATCACAAATATGCAAAAGTAAAGAAAATTAGAAAGGGGGCAAATACTTTTTCATAGCACTGTAGGTTAAATATGAAATGACCTTACGTTAATGACTTTTTGCAAATCCAATCAGTTTTCCACATTGATTCAATGTCATCAAATATATTTTTTTGATAGAAATGACGTGGAAACAACATTGATTCAACCAGTTTTTGCTCAGTGAACTATTAACGTGTTGACCAGTCAATAAATGATACGTTTGGATTCAGAACCATCTCAACCTAAAATAAAAGTTAAAGAATAGGATTAAGCCAGTGGCTCAGATAAAACTTTCCAAGCAGTAGATACATCTTCTTTAAATGTTGATATTTGGTTGCGTTGTCAACAAAACACCAATTCAATATTACTTTTGTAATACAGTAAATAGCCTAAAGTCTTACAGTATTTATTCAGCTTTAAAATGAGTAACACATCCCTGGACACATTTTGAGGTTACTGTAACAATAAATGTCTTCTTATGTAATAATAGAAACCGTGCATGTTAAAGATAGCATGGAAATGTCGCAGGTCTGTGGAGATCTTCACAACTGATAAAACAATCTGCACAGAATCTCAAACGGTATTGACCACTTGCACCATGTACTTAAATAATCAATCCAGGTAATTTGGTTGTGCTAGTAGATGAAGCACAGTGAAAACACATTAAGTTGTTGTATAAATAAACAAAATATCTGACATTGTATTCCCATTAAAACAATTTTTGAAAGCACAGTGATATCACATTTAGGTAACAACTAAACCAAAAATCAGACATTGATTTTCAATTGGAATTTGGTTGTGCTTTTAGATGGTTGAAAGCATTGGGAATTTAACAAACTTTTGACTGTCTTTTTGAGGTTGGAATCTCATTGATCAACGTATCAACCAAATATGACCCAATTCTCCACGCTGAAATTACGTGGTGTGTCCAGTGGTTAGCAATCACAAATGTACATTGTTTGAAGCACACAGTCTCAGCCACAAATTACCGCTCCAATAGCCACAAATTACCGCTCCAATAATAATAATAATAATAATAATAATAATATGCCATTTAGCAGACGCTTTTATCCAAAGCGACTTACAGTCATGCGTGCATACATTTTTGTGTATGGGTGGTCCCGGGGATCGAACCCACTACCTTGGCGTTACAAGCGCCGTGCTCTACCAGCTGAGCTACAGAGGACCAGCTAGGCCGTCAATAAGCCCCTTATGGTGAGCGAGAGGCTTGTAGAATCATGATTCTTTCTAGTTTTTAGTTCACCGTTCACCGGTAGGGGGTCCTGCGTGATCTGGGCATTACTGAATCAAATGAACAAAATGAGTTGAAAGATTTGATCTTTTGACTGAACGAGTTGAAAAGATCAGAGTCAATAAAAAGAGCCAAACTTCCCATCACTACTTTACAGGCCACATCACTTCGCAAGTCACATTATTGGAAACCAGCCAGAGTGAAGATATCCAACAATTGCAACCACAGGAGCCTGTTGTGGGAGGACAGCTCATAATAATGGCTGGAATGGAATAAATGGAATGGTATCAAGCACATGGAAACTACCCACTGGGCACAGGTGTCAGTCAACATCTAGTTTTGATTTACATTTGGTTGAGTTTTCAACTAACGTGAATTCAACGTGAAATCAATAAGAAATGTCACTGTCATTGGATTTAGGTTAAAAGTTAGGGGGGAAAAATATGAAATTCCCTTACGTTGATGACTTTTTTCAAATCCAATCAGTTTTCCATGTTGATTCAACATCATCACGTTGATTGTTTTGGTTGAAATTACATGGAAACAACGTTTAATTTTTGCCCAGTGGGTATGTGTTTGATACATTTCCATTTATTCCATTCCAGCCATTACATTGAACCCATCCTCCCCAATTAAGGAGCCACCAGCCACCTGTTTTTGGAACTATCAATCGGCTGCAACATGCATTGAGAATGACTGCCCAGATAGGAATGTTTGGTTTGAGACTACATAAGTCATATTAATTGGAACAGCCATCTCAGCAACGGGTGCAATAAGTCAAACTATTAACAGATTGGATTGGTTTAGAAAAATGTATGTTATTTATGTTTGTGTAGCATAAGATGAATCAACCAATCAATGTACATGCAAAAACACGGGTATTGAAACAAACAATTCTGAAAATCAACCTGCAACAGAGCATGCTGGGAAATATGATAATGATGGGTGTGGTTTTGAGTGGTTTTGATCAAACATGAATTTGTAATTTTCCCAAATCTAAGCCTTTTGTTTTCTATGATTGTTAATCAAACTGATCAAAGGGATTGAATAAAAATGATTAACAATATGGTTATTTGAAATGGTTATTTGATTAATTCAATAAACACATAATTTCAATTAAATGTGTATTGAAAACATGGACGTTTTGTAAGATGTGCGATTTTTGGGGAAAGTGAATATCTTTAGTGAGAAATTATTTTACAGTCCCTTTTATAAATTATATTTTTTTGTTGTACTTTCATGTGTTTTCTCTTCCTTGTTCCCTATCTCCCTCTGTAGATGAGCCAAATCTCTCCTCACAGAGAGTCCTCAGCCCTGCATCTGGTCTGGCCTACACCCTGGAGGAGGCTTCCCCCTACAGCATTAAGTGTAGCGAGCACAACCCAGAGTGCCTCTCTGGCTATGAGCACCTGGAGGCCAAAAACTACCTGGACCACTCTAGGCCTGGGGGTATCGCCCTGAGCCCCAGGATCGAGATCACACCGTCGCGTGAGCACTACAGCCATGGACGAGACTCCCTGCAGAACCACACTCTGAACATCAGCCCCCGGCCCACCCTGACCGTCCCGGGCCACGACAGCCTGGCCTACCGTGAGCCCCAGTGCTTGAGCCCGGCCTCCAGCAACTCCTCCACCAGCTGGCACTCGGAGAGCTACTCCCCCTGGGCCTCCCCCTGCGTGTCCCCTAGTAGTGGCCAGACCGGGGCCGGGGACCTCTGCCCCCGCTTCCAGAACATCCACACCGGCTCCCCCCGCACCTCCCCAGGCACCTCCCCCCACACCGAGGAGGGCTGCCTCGGCCCCCGCTCGCCCTCTCCATCCCTCAGGCCAGGATCCCGCTCCGCTTCCCCACAGGGAAAACGCACCTACGACATGTACAGGAACCCCAGCCTGGTCACCGGGATCCGCTCCCGCAGTCCCTCCCCCCATAGGGGCCACGAGGAGCACCCCCAACAGAACGCAGGGGCCCACTACGGGACCCCCAACAGTCTGGCTGAGGCCATGAACGGCTACGGCACTGTCCAGCCTGGTCTAGTCCCCACCAAGATAGTGAAGACGGCCAACCAGGCGTATGCCTTCTACCCAGAGAACCACAGGGAGGTCAACTACCTGGTGTCCTGTGAGCAAGATGCTAAGAATAAAACTGGGGCCGAATCCTTCTTTGTGATCCCTCCCATCTGGACCAAGCAGCTGGTCCCCAACCTCTGCAGGTGAATGGTGTAGGAAACCTGTACTGTATAGGTGTATCGTGCAGTTTTATTATGAATCTGATTTAGTTGTTAATCTGTTTATTACATTGTATTACATGACTTATATGACCAAGCTTTCATGACCCATTAGGACCCACAATTTAGCTAGCCTAATCATTGCACAAGACAAATTAACACTTTTTCCTGTAGCATCCCAGTGTCTTCTCTGCCCCCTCTGGAATGGCCTGTCCCCAGCTGTACAGACCAGTACAAGCTCCACGTTGACGTGCAGCCCAAGCCCCACCACCGAGCCCACTATGAGACAGAGGGGAGCAGGGGTGCGGTCAAAGCCCCCACTGGTGGTCATCCTGTCGTCCAGGTATGCTGCATCCCACTGGGCACAGACTTCAATTCAACGTCTGTTCCACTTTGGTTCAATGTCATTTCATTGAAATGACATGGAAACAACGTTGATTCAACCAGTATGTGCCAAGTAGAATGGCTCTGTATCACTCTTAGAAAATGAGTTGATTTATGGAAATCTTTTTTGGTTCTAGGTAGAATCTTTTCACCAAATGAAGAACCCTCAAATAACCTTTTAAGAACCCTTTGGTGAAAGGAATCTATCTTGAACCAAAAAGGATAATACATTTCCTGGAACTAAAAAGAGTTATCCTACAGGGACAGGCGAAGAAACCTTTATGGTTCTAGGTAGCCCCTTTTAGTGTAGGACAGCCCTAATAGAAAGGCCTGTTGCGTGTAATGGTATTTCCTAGTCAATACACAGCTGTGCTACTACTACCCCAGGGCCTGGCTTAGGAAAATGACTACTGTGTGTTACTGTGTATGTTCTACAGTATATGTTCTTTACCTCATCCTTTCTCTCTCTATCTCTCCCTTTCTCGCTCTATCTCTCCCTATCTCTCTCCCTCCTCCTCGCTCTTCTTCCTAGCAGCCTGCCAAACTCACTGAAATGAGGTATAATGTGCACTGATATCTTACGCATGGCAGCTACTGTTTCCTCAAGTCAACTCCCAGACTTGAATTCCAGCCATTACTACAGTAAACCCCTTGCAGATTATTGTTTTTGCCTTCATTTACTATGAGCAACAGCTTTTGTGTTAATTGTTTCAAACCAAGTGTCATGAGAACGCTTGTCTTCTTGCAAAAAAATACACCACTGTGTTGCCCCTCACAGCCCAATGTTTTAACCACAAGCAGATTTCAGCTTTTTTGGCTATATACACACAGGTCCCATGACTCCAGTGATCACTGGAGACAGGAGTGGTGAGCTTTAGTCAGGCATACTCATATGAACATATAAAAAACAGAAATGTTAAGTTTTGTTATACATGCTGTATTGAGCTAGTATCACTTCTTTACATGTTCAATCTAAGCTGAACTTAATAGAAGGCATTTCCACTTCGTTTCGTATATGTTAAGTAGGGAATAGAACTTTCAGTTCATATTTTAATGTTTCCAAGGCAACGTCTTGAAAGCTTACTTGTTGTTGTTGATAGTCAGAACCTGGCCGGGTAGAAATTAAGCATTTCTCACTTTCCATTTTCTGGCTCTCGCTGAGGTCAGTGAGCTGTGCCTGGTGTCGTCCGATCACGTGGCTGGCTAGGCACGGCCAAACTACTCCCTCTCAGTCCCAGACTCTGAACTCCCTCCACTTTAATTTTCCTAGTCCCACTCGCTCTGACTCACTCACTGCAACCATGGCAACCGGCTTCTCAGATGGCCTGTTCTCTTATAGACTTCCTTTATTTTACTCATTGTGTCAGACTCAGCTAGCTGTGTTCAACACCACTCTAGTTTTTGCTTACATTCAACAGTTGTAAGGAGTTCCACCAGTGAAAAAGCTCTGTTCTACAACAGTGAATGTGAATATTTGTAATTCTCACTTGACTTTAGAGAGGAACCGCACACTATGCTGTAGGCTACTCAGCTTCCTAGGATATGCCTCTTTCTCTCAGTCAGTCCCTCCACGTCTGTTTCTCTGCTGTGGCTGTCTGTCTGTCTGAGCAACAAGGAAATTAGATGAGATGTGATCTCTGCCGTGCCTCTTTCAGCCAAACCCTGCCCCCTCACTATACTCTTCTCACCTGTTCGGCTGTCGTAAAACTCACACACACACACACACACACACACACACAGACACACACACACACACACACACACACACACACACACACACACACACACACACACACACACACACACACACACACACACACACACACACACACACACACACAGAGATTAGTGGAGAGACCAGAGACATCTCACAATTAAGCATGCAGAAACCACAAAGCGTGAACTTGAAAATAAAAGTATCTGTTAAAGTATCATCCACGCACACACACACACACACACACACACACACAGAGAGAGACAAACAGACGTAGATTAGTGGAGAGACCAGAGACTACCTCGGAAGGAAGCATGTAAAAACCACAAAGCGTGAACTTGCAAATAAAACTATCTGTCTGAAAAATCATGAGCTTGAAAATGTTGTGTGTGTGTGTGAGAGACAGACAGAGGGTTTTAGTGGTGAGATAAGAAAACTATGTAAAGTGTAGACGCCTGACAAGGTTGCAAGCATACTTTGATTATTTAACTGAATATTGGCGACAACTACGCCTACTTTGCAGTTGTATGCAATGATTTTGATGAATATTTATGATTAGGCGTTTCCCATCATGTTATAAACATTTAGTATGCGGCCACATCCAATTCTCCAGACCACTCCACTGTAGAAGTACTGGAATTAACGTAGACCTAGTCTTTCTTTTGTCTTGAAGGTATCCGTGGCACATTTGGCCAAACTAAGGCTTTGGCAGTCACATTCTAATAAGCGTGCCAATGAATGATAGTGATTCCTATGGAGTTCTTTTGAATTCCAAAGACGGCTACTTTAGAACAAACAGCTGCTGGCTGATATTCAAGGTTGAGGACACTAATGTTTCCAGCAGTGAGTGTGTCTGCTAAGCTAGCATCTACATTTTAGTCATTTAGCAGACGCTCTTATCCAGAGCAAGTGCATACATTTTCATTTTTTATATATATTTTGTACTGGTCCCACATGGGAATCAAACCCACAACCGTGGTGTTGCAAATGCCATGCTCTACCAACTGAGCCACACGGGAGCCCACCAGGCTACACCAGGCTAAGGTATCCTACCAGGGGGTTAGCTTTATGTTTAGCCAAAGCTGTTAGCAGAAAACCGTCAAAGAAGACATAGTTATAGAGTCATTCCACCTCAAAAAGCTAAAGAAAGAGGATTTCGACACCCACCATCTCAGATTGTTTCGAGATAACAGATAATATGAGCATGCCTGCAACATTATTTTGGTGAAAGATAATTTGAACTCTGAGAAATTAAGCTAATTGATTGGCCCCAAATTGTCAATTTAAATGTATAGGATTAATATAATATTCAATAAATATAGTACCCAACATCTGATTTTGACCAAACCTCTTCTTAACAATGATTAAGGCTTGAGAAATCCAAATAAATGTTCAAAAGCCACCAACAGACACCCCAAAACCCCACACCAAGCCCACCCAAATGGCCAGTATACAGTATCAGTTCTCTATGTTTGACAAGTAGTATGACGCTGCGTCTTGGAGTACAGTTTAATCATACTATGTTTTGTATTCTCTGTGAATTTGATGGGGATTTTTCCCCTGTTCAGAGAAATTAGCCATTGAAGTAGCTTGCATTTTCCCCCAGTATGAAAAATTTATGCACTAACTGTAAGTCGCTCTGGATAAGAGCGTCTGCTAAATGACAAAAAAAAAGTCAAAAAAAAAAAAAAGTAAATTAGTGTGAAAGTACCAGGTTTTGCCCACTAGAGGCCGCTATTCATGCTACTGCCACCCTATTATCCCTTTTTCTGGTCTCTTGTGTTTACATTTTAGCAGACGCTCTTATCCAGAGCGACTTACATGAGCAATTAGGTTTAAGTGCCTTGCTCAAGGGCACATCGACAGATTTTTCACCTAGTCGGCTCGGGGATTAGAACCAGCGACCTTTCAGTTACTGGCACAACGCTCTTAACTCTTAACCACTAAGCTACTAAGCCAGTCCTCCATGAAAGCAGTTCAGTTTGTCCTTCTCTTAGCAACTAATGCCTCATCCAACTCTCCTTGAATAGTCCAACAAATAGCAGCTCTCTGAGAGGGCTAACCCTATGGTGAAATTCTCATATGAAGACTTTTCCTACAAGCCCAATTTTTTTATGGAGAAATGAGCTAGTGACTGTTGTGACAATCCTAATAAAATAATACAATTCTAAACCATTGCATGGCAGTCAATAAAATTATTAGAAAACATCTTTACCATTAAATCCAACCCAATTCCGTTACCTTTGCAAAAAACCATACAGTGTGTGTTTGGGAATTTTAACATTGAACACCCTTAGCTAGAGAACATAACATTGAAACCATTAGCACTGCTGTAGCCTAATCGTTTGCTTGTTCAACAGGAATGGTCTAATCCAGACTTTTTTGGATGGGAATAAACCACACACACAGGGTCCGTTTCCTGGACACAGATTAAGCCTAAGAGAAGGACCAACTGAATTGCTATTGGTTTTCTACTCAAAGTTGCAACATAACTATTGTGATCCATTTAGTAAACACAAGAAACCAGCTGAATTTGATAAAAGGGTGTGGCAGTAGAAGGAACAGCATCATCTTTTGGGCAAAACCTGGCATTCACACTCATTTATGGGGGAAATGTGAGCTACTTCAATGGCTGATATCCCTGAACAGGGGAAAAGATATCACCAAATTCACTGAGAATACATTACATAGTATGAATAAACAATACTCTAAGCCGCGGCTTCATACCACTTGTCAAACACAGATAACTGATACTGTATACTGGACATTGGGGTGGATTCCTCAGGTCATTTTTTAAAATCATTTTTAAGAAGAGTTTTGGTTCAAATCGGATGTTGGGTTTTATATTTATTGAATATTATATGAATCCTATAAATTGAAATGGCCAATTTGGATGCAAATTGTCTTTCAACAAAATGTATTTATTTCTAACTACAGAAACCATTTCAGGACAATCTGAGATGATGGGTGTCATAGCTTGCTGAAATGAAATTGAATGACCCTATAGGCAAAATAATGACAAATACCAATCATTATATAAATTCAACTATGCAATGAAACACTGGTTACCTACCAATGGGCATATATAAGGGGGGGGGGGGGGGGGGGGTGGAACAGGCAGAATAGAAACTTGAAAAATTACGCATTATGGAAAGTGTGAACATCTTGACTTCATGTAAAAACAATTTTTTAGTGGAGTTTCCTCTGGTGTTTCTTCCAGTTGCATGGCTACAGGGGAAAGGAGCCACTGGGCCTGCAGATCTTCATCGGGACAGCAGATGAGAGGATCCTGAAGCCCCACGCCTTCTACCAGGTTCACCGCATCACGGGCAAGACGGTCACCACCACCAGCTACGAGAAGATCATCAACTCCACCAAAGTCCTGGAGATCCCTCTGGAGCCCAAGAACGACATGAAAGCAATGTGAGAGTAGCTACAGTAGTGATTCATGCCAAACACCACTCATACGGAGCAGTGTCCTTTGCAGACTTCGGTTCAAACTGTATTTGTTTTCTTTTAAACTCGTTGAGCCTGTTTACTGAGCCTGTCTCCAGTGCCACCAGATGGGCGGGATGGATTTGCACTGATGGGAATATTCCATTGGTTCCATTGTGCAAGGCATGCTCAATCAAGTTTTTGAAATAAAACTCATACTAATTGAACCCAGGTCTGATCTCATTAACCATATCAGTTGTAATCATAATGCAACACATGCGTACCTGTACAGGGTTTACAGTAGTTAATTCTCCTATTTGTGTGTTTCTCACAGAATCGACTGTGCTGGGATCCTGAAGCTCAGGAATGCTGACATTGAGCTAAGGAAAGGCGAGACGGACATCGGACGGAAGAACACTCGTGTGCGTCTAGTGTTCCGTGTGCATATACCCCAACCTAATGGGCAACACATCTCACTGCAAACCGCCTCCCATCCTATTGAGTGCTGTAAGTACATCCAACACTGTAATAGTTATTTATGTAAAATGTATTTAACCAGGTCCCATTGAGACCAGAATACCTATTTTCAAAGGCAGACATATTACCTGTGCTCTTTAGTGTGATAAACATATAGTCTGTGATTCTATGTGGTGTCTTTCCTTCTATAGATGTGCTATAATTAAAGCAATAAGGTCTGAGGGGTATATTGGCCATACCACAAACCCCTGTGGTGCCTTATTGCTATTATAAACTGGAGACCAACCTAAATAGATCAGTAAACAGGTATTTTTGCATCATACCCATAATATATTGTCTGATATACACATGGCTGAAATGCTGTTTCAGCCAATCAGCATCCAGGACCCAAAGTACCCGATTTATAATGTGGTTTAGGTTTAACATGTGGTTATACTGTATTTTCATTTTACACAATGCAGTACATTTCCATTTATGTTTCCTCTTCCCCGTTTTCATTGCACTGATGTTAACCAGAGGTAACACACAGAATGAATAAACATGGCTAAAGCTTGGAGTAGAGCTGATAGTCCAGGCACACGGACATACAAAGACTCTTTTATGATTAGGCTGGCAGCTCTCAAACCTCAACTCTTTTAGTGGGTGTGTGTTTGTGTGTGTGTCTGAATCCTAGTTAAAAGCTAAACATTACATACATGTAGGCGAACATGTCCAGGGAACATGAAGTCCATGTACCTGTATATGCTATGCCAGTGACGTGCGTTGAGGTTGGTGGCTTTGTAGGCAATGGCTATTATCAAAGCCCGATTTATTCGCAAATAAACATTGAAGCCCAAGTTCACCATACAACAGATAGCTCCAACAACCAGAGTGACATATGCTATTAACCAAAATTGACAAACAATTTTCACCAAATGTAAATACCAATGTAGCCAAGCGATAGCCTCCAATGGCAGGATATTTCATATCATCTGACAAAATAACACACTGCTCAACTCAGCTCAGCCATATACCAATGTAGCATCCACAGTTACAACTAAAAGGTGGCACTAAAATTCCAATATATGGACACATTTCATCCGAATAATTCGCAACGCAAACTCCATAACTTTTCACGTTGGATGTACAATTCTTCCAATGCACGGTGAACACACACACACACACACACACACACACACACACACACACACACACACACAATAATATTATGATGTGAAATATAATTACACACACATACAGTAGATCCGGAAAGTATTCAGACGTCTCAACTTTATTTCACATTTTGTTACGTTACAGCCTTATTTTAAAATGGATTAAATAATTGTTCCCCCTCATCAATCTACACACAAGACCCCATAATGTTTTTAGACATTTTTGCAAAACATATATAAAAAAACAACTGAAATATCACATTTACATAAGTATTCAGACCCTTTACTCAGTACTTTGTTGAAGAACCTTTGGCAGCGATTACAGCCTCAAGTCTTCTTGAGTATGACGCTACAAGCTCGGCACACCTGTATTTGGGGAGTTTCGCCCATTCTTCTCTGCAGATCCTCTCAAGCTCTGTCAGGTTGGATGGGGAGCGTAGCTGCACAGCTATTTTCAGGTCTCTCCAGAGATGTTTCATCGGGTTCAAGTCCGGGCTCTGGCTGGGCCACTCAAGGACATTCAGAGGCTTGTCCCGAAGCCACTCCTGCGTTGTTTTGGCTGTGTACTTGGGGTCGTTGTCCTGTTGGAAGGTGAACCTTCGCCCCAGTCTGAGGTCCTGACTAGTCTCCCAGTCCCTGCCGCTGAAAAACATCCCCACAGCATGATGCTGCCACCACCATGCTTCACCGTAGGGATGGTATTGGCCAGTTGATGAGCGATGCCTGGTTTCCTCCAGACATGACGCTTGGCATTCAGGCCAAAGAGTTCAATCTTGGTTTCATCAGACCAGAGCATCTTCTTTCTCATGGTCTGAGAGTCATTTGGGTGCCTTTTGGCAAACTCCAAGCAGGCTGTCATGTGCTTTTTACTGAGGAGTGGCTTCCGTCTGGCCACTCTACCATAAAGGCCTGATTGGTGGAGTGCTGCAGAGATGGTTGTCCTTCTGAAAGTTTCTCCCATCTCCATAGATGAACTCTGGATCTCTGTCTGAGTGACCATTGGGTTCTTGGTCACCTCCCTGACCAAGGCCCTTCTTCTCCGATTGCTCAGTTTGGCCGGGCGGCCAGCTCTAGGAAGAGTCTTGGGGGTTCGAAACTTCTTCCATTTAAGAATGATGGAGGCCACTGTGTTCTTGGGGATCTTCAATCCTTCCCCAGAGCTGTGCCTCGACACAATCCTGTCTCGGAGCTTTACGGACATTCCTTCAACCCCATGGCTTGGTTTTTGCTCTGACATGCACTGTCAACTGTGGGACCTTATATAGACAGGTGTGTGCCTTTCCAATCAATTGAATTTACCACAGGTGGACTCCAATCAAGTTGTAGAAACATCCCAAGGATGATCAATGGAAACAGGATGCACCTGAGCTCAATTTCTCATAGCAAATGGTCTGAATACTTATGTAAATAAGGTATTTCTGTTTTTATTTTTAATACATTTGCAAACATTTATAAAATCTGTTTTTGCTTTGTCATTATAGGGTATTGTGTGTAGATTGATGAGGAACAAATTGAATTTAATCAATTTTAGAATAAGGCTGTAACGTAACAAAATGTGGAAACAGTCAAGGGGTCTGAATATTTTCCGAATGCACTGTATATAATAAATAACCCAGCAAACTAACATTGGTTCTGTGAAAATGTCCAGAACATTCGTTTGCTGGCAGCAAATGTTCACAAACACACATTTTCACAAACACTGTCCAGTTGTGCTGATTATTATACAATGTTTGTATAAAACATTTGCCTGACGTTGCAAGAAGGTGTCCAGTAGAGATGACTATTTTCCCGAAAATCTACCAAGTTTCAATACCGGGAATAATTCCTATTTATCCAGAGAGTCCCGGGAAATACCGCCAATTTAAAGCGTTTAAAACCAAGATATGGTCACTATGCCAGGGTTCTCCCAAAATAAGATTGTTGCTGCACCACATTGCCGGCTTGGCTGCGCCACTATGCAAAGGTTTCACAGCAAGTGAAACTGATATGTAGTAATGATAGAGTAACTTTGATTGCCAATGACATTGTTGTGAATTGCGAAACAGGCCGTTCATAAATTCAGAGCATCATCAATTTTCTCAATTAATTCAGCGCATTTCATCAGTAGGCTATCTCGACACAGAGCGCGCTCAGGATGCACAGAGCGCACCCCGAGTAGGCTGTAGTGTTGTCGAATCATACAAACTTTGTAACGGCAGTCAAACAAAAGCCAAATGACCAAAGTTGCTAAGCTTGATAGATAACTATCAAATGACAGAATATCTCAGATTTGGCAAAATTGAGTTGACGATTATACAGATAACAGATCAGCTCATGAATAACGGAGAGATGAAAAGAGGAAATTGTTTAAATATCAATGTATCTTAACGGGGACCAACTCTGTTTAAAAAAGAATAATCCATATGTACTCTCATACCATTTGTTGATCACGCATTCTCTACCGACGCTCTCATATGGACAGCAATAAGAGACTGCAGAGAAGCGGGGGAAATGTTATAGCGGTATTTTTACATGCATAGGCCAGACGTGCTTTAATAATGGATTACAGAATAAAGTTAGGAATTTCCATGTGAGACAGGAATCAGGATTTTGGGTTTCAGTGGGATTGGGACGATAGGAAATTAGCCTAGGCTCTTTATAAGGCTATATAAGACTACTACGTGAGTCAATAGATAAATAATACACTTGATTTAGTCTACATTATTGCATGCTAAATGTTTCTGATCAGTGATAGATGAGCAAACGAATAAATGAGCTACCACTTCCACTTGTCCAGCCAGAGATCAATTAACCAAATATACAAAATCACATTGATTGAAAGTCACAGGCTTTTGATCGGGAGTAAGACAGGCTACTACACGAATGAAGAGCAAAATCCACAGGTATAACATGCTAGCAAAATGTTCTGATCAGCTAATATATGAGCAAACTAGAATAAAGATGATAATGAGCAATCACCTCAATTTAGCGAACATTTCCCCAGCCTAATTGTTACCAAACTGAGATTCAGTGAAAAGTAAAATCTGACATTGATTGATTTATCTCGACGAGTCCCCCACGCTTGTCTCAAAGCAGCGTGATGGCGCTGTCCCAATCAAAACTGTGCTTAAATGATAATATAGGTGACCACACACGAGTATTGCTTTAAATTAGTATAACGGTTGGATATGACGTTGGGAGTTTCAGTATAAGCAAGAATTTGATACAAGCCTTCAATTGCATTACTTTATTCCAATATTTTTCCTCTATCTGCGCTTTTTCTAGGCCCAATCACTGTTTCCTCATGTCCTCACTCCACTGCCGCCCGCCTCCGCCGCGTTGTTCTCAACACCAGTTTAAATCAATATAGCCTACTGTTTTCTAGAAATCAGGCTTTTTTTCGGGTTCGGGCTCATTTCATTTTTGTGATGTTGGACTAGGCCTGGGCTCACGCTTCAGCTCACCAGGTTTGGGTCGGACCAGGATCAAATTTTCAATTCTGATGAGAACTCTAAACTGCATTCGGGGCTCGTGTGCAGTCTGACAGTGTCAATTATGTGTTTGCTTTGAATTTATGGTGACTTTGTTTGAAGTAAATATGCTAGGTTCCATGCAACAATCTGTTTGGATAATGTGCTATTTTATTTTTTGCCAATCTGCTGCTGTGCATGTTGTGTATTTTGTGGAATTGCATTAGTGCGACATTGGGGGAAAATGTTGTAATTTCCCAGGTCTTGTCACGTTTTTTTCGGGAAATGTGAAGCGTGATCCCGGGACAGTCCCTAAGAACATTACCGGAACATTGTGTTATTACATTACCTGGGGATGCTGTCTATTCTCATGATTCAACAGTACAACCCGCAAATTGCAAAGGAAAATGCATTTAGGCCTACCCTTTACTTTAGGGTGAACCTCTCAGTGACCGCGTAAATGTCCAAGATGTGTAAAAGTCTGGGTAAAAAGTATTAATTCATAATGACATTTCAGACAAGTGGACAGTCCTGTACTCACTGTTCGCCTGCCCGACAGCTAGCAGTAAGGGAGATGGTGGTTGCCTGTCATGAATAAAGTCACGTCGTAGAGGTATGCTGCCTCTGTTTGGTCTAAACTTTCATTATTGTTGACGTTCCACTCTTCAAACCCTCCAAAGAGCGCCTTACAGTATTCCAACTTGGAATGTTGTTTGAGGTGCAGTATAGTGTCCATTTGTCAGTTTGTTTTTGGTAGCTACATTTTGAGTTCGTTCAGTTCAAGGGATGTGAGCGCCAAATTATGTAGCTTACCCCAGGCAATACCCACACAACATGTTTAGGCAATACGCATTGCGTAAAATATGAAATCGGCTCAATGCAATAAATGAAGCTACTTCAAACTAGACCCTGTCCATAAACAGTGACTGGAGTCAGGAATGGCCGCAGCGTCCACTATTTGAATGGATGGAGAGGAAGACATGAATACCCTGGCGCCGGTCCTGAGGTTTTGATGCAGTTTTAGCAGATTTGTTGATTTTGAGCATAAAAACCATTTATGAAAAAATATTAGATAACAAAAACAACAACATTAGATAACAAAAAAGAATGTCAATTATTTATAGAATTATATATTTTATTTGGCTTTTTATTAGATTATCACAGGGTAAGCACTGCCTACCCTGCCTACCCTGACTGCACTGCAGTCCAACACTCAGATGCAATCTCACTCCGGAGTGTCAGAACATTGTCGTCTGATGAGCAAAATAAAAATACTGTATGCAGTCATGCAGTCAAGTGCAAAATTGTGTTTGCACAGTCATAATAGAACACCCCCAACACATCTGTTAAAATGGCCAATAAGCAAACTAAACTGTGTCAGTTGTGTGTGTGTTTGAAGAGACTAGCCTCCAGGTATTATCCTCTGTGTTGACTCACAGTATAGTAGGCTGTCCAAAGGTCACAACTGTTTGCCTACACTTCACACGCCTCACTGGAGATAGATTTTCAGGCGGGATAATGATAAGCTTGAGGAAGTAACTTTCGTTCATTTGGTCTCAATCTCATCATGTGTACAAAATGTTTTTAGATTTAATTGCCACACACTACTCTAGTAGTAAACATGATCTGCCGTCCATTCCCCAAGTGATTCATTTGGCCTTTATGTAACCCCTTCTGCTGGCATTGCTGACAGTCGATCCCCAATAATAAGGTCAGTCACTAAAAGATAAGAGCAGAGAGTCAAGCCTTGATTTGCTGTAGTCGGGTATTGGTTCCCTAAACATGGCTGCCTCCATAGAAATATAATTACTAGAACTGAAATTCCCTTTTAAGTCACTGGGTCTGTAATGGGTGGACTGGTGGCCATATTGAGTGCACCCAAAGGTGTTCCAGTTGAATTGCCATGGTCTGAGGAGCTTGCTCGTTCTAGTAATTATATTTCTATGGCTGCCTCTGTCTCTGTGGCTGCAACTTCAGGCCCACTGCCTCGATTAAGCTATCAGTCCAGGAAATCTACCGTACCGGGAGAGAATACAGTACAGCAGCCAATCAGTGTCTACTTCATGGACAGGTCACAGGGTTTGTTGAACATACTCCAACATACACTCCATTGCGTAATGATGAAAGTGTTGGAGAGGTCCACCCTCCATGTTCCTTCCCCCTCCTCCCGCCGCCCCTTTCTGTACTGTAGGCTACCGCACGCTGTCATATGTTTCCACTGGACCGAGTCCCACTTCCATGATGTGCTCTGTTTGTCCAGGCCTGTAGCGTGTAGCCGCAATTTACATTACAACCTCAAATTCAAATAAAATCTCTTCATTCATATCCCCCCACTCTACCAGGTTTACTGTACTGTACCAAGTAATTGCCCCATATTAATATCTACACAAATCTAATATTCAGACAAATATTTAAAGTACACAATGAGGAAATATGTTTTTTAAATTAGTCGGTACGAGCCTCATTCTAATCAGTCAACAATTACCTTGTGACTTCAAAGCAAACATCAACCGGAGATCAAACTGACTACCTCAAAAGGACCTACCGCAGAGTGTGTAACATTATGTTCTAATAATGCCATGCTCCATCTCCTGTCCTACAGCCAGTCCTCTACCCACTACGCCAACATGAGCTGTCAGTACCACAGTGTGTAACGTCATGTCATAATGTCATGTTCTCTCTTCCATCTCACAGCCCAGCGGTCCGCCCATGAGCTGCCCATGGTGGATAAACAAGACATTGACAGCTGCTCTGTCCTGGGAGGTCAGCAGATGATCTTGACGGGACGGAACTTCAGCTCCGACTCCAAGGTCATCTTTATGGAGAAAACCCATGGTGAGTATTACTCAATATGAGTCAACACCTCTGGGGGAGGAAGTGAATGATGGTGGTATGGACGATATTCTGTATGATGTGCCGCCTCATCTATGAAAAATGTTACGGTTATTTTGCTAGAGTGAAATGTTTGCCAGTATTCTTCTGACCGTTGTTAGATTCTGTTGAAAAAAACAACCTCATACAATATGTGCCAGTAGCGTTGCAAGCATTTTGGGAATTTTCCATTGCAAAACTGTGGGAATGTGGAAAACTTTACATAGGAATATATGGGAATTTATTCACTTTTTAAATTTTTGCCAGTATTTACCCTCATAAACCAGCCATGATAATCAGATGTAGACAGTTATTACCCATGCCCATTTGGAGGCAATTTACTTTACAGCCCTATATTATTATTATTACGCTGGTTGATCATGCCTCCACAAATTCTGCTACACAGTTTCTCAATCTCACTAGTGCCACAGCACCACTTTGAATTGAATGTATAGCTCTACCATGCTACGTTTTACCTATGAATAATTTGCATGATCCATCAGATAAGGCAGCAGCCTCAGTCTCCTGTGCCCTCTCCTCCCCGCCTGTTATCCATGTGTTATGTTATCATTATGCTGTTTCTTTTGTTGTGCATGGAATAGGACTTCTGTTAAGGAATAGGACCTAGTGGAATAGGACCTAGTGGTTAAGAGAGTTAGGCCAGTAACCAAAAAGTCACTGGTTCAAATCCCAGAGCAGGCAAGGTGAGCAAGGCAGTTAACCCCCAACAACAACTGCTCCCTGGGTGCCGATGATGTGGACGTCGATTAAGGCAGCCCCCTCGCACCTCTCTGATTCAGAGTGGTTGGGTTAAATGTGGAAGACACATTTCGGTTGAATTAATTCAGTTGTGCAACTGACTAGGTATCTCCTTTCCCTACACAAACCTGTAGACAGCTTCAAATACCTCAGTACATTAGGAAACTAGAAATGTGATACTAAGCTTACTTGTGAAATCACAGGACCAGAATTCTACCTAAAGTGCGCGTTAACTCATGTGTACTACTGCATTCTTATTGGTCTGCTCTATCCAGTCATAGTTCGGCCTTGTGACACAACTATTTAACTTGTACAATGGAATGGCAGAATCACCATTACGAGATAGTCTCAGATATTGCTGTATTAATCAATGTGACTGAGTAATAGTGACAAAGGACACCATACTTTCGATCTGTTATTTGAATCCTGACCTTTCCTCCTCACCCACCACTCAGATATTTGCATGACATTCCAATTCCTCCTGATACTAAACAGTCCCAACCTTTTTAGGATAAGAAGCTTATCACAGCAACAGAGGTTTTATTGTAGGTTTATTTTAGAACATCACCCAATTATTCAGCAAGCTTACTACAGTATTAGTATCTTGTGCAGATTGTTCATGTGCTTCATTGACAGCTTACAGGATTGTATGCTGAGGAGATGCACATTTACATTTACATCATTTAGCAGACGCTCTTATCCAGAGCGACTTACAAGTTGGTGCATTCAACTTATGATAGCCAGTGGGACAACCACTTTTTTATTTTTTTTATTTTTTTTATGGGGGGGTGGGGGAGGGAGGGGTAGAAGGATTACTTTTATACTATTCCAGGTATTTCTTAAAGAGGTAGGGTTTCAAGTGTCTCCGGAAGGTGGTCAGTGACTCCGCTGTCCTGGCGTCGTGGGGGAGCTTGTTCCACCATTGGGGTGCCAGAGCAGCGAATAGCTTTGACTGGGCTGAGTGGGAGCTGTGCTTCCGCAGAGGTAGGGGAGCCAGCAGGCCAGAGGTGGATGAACATAGTGCCCTCGTTTGGGTGTAGGGTCTGATCAGAGCCTGAAGGTAAGGAGGTGCTGTTCCCCTCACAGCTCCGTAGGCAAGCACCATGTACTTTGTCATAGTTGTCAGTCACAGTTTTCAGTACAGTCTTTGTTGTGCTGCTCTTTGCAGACTGTCTGTGTAGTGAGGGATGTACAATTTATGTCACCTCATTGCACCTCAATATCCTCAATACTGAGTCCAGAGGGAAGAGTGGCCCTCATTGATCCATCTACAGCACTTACGGCAGCTACTTGGTTTACCTTGGCAGTCGTCACCCAAACACTAACCATAACACCAGCTCTTATAAAGCCAGATGCACAACCTAGGGACTATTTTAATGTAACTATTTATTCCTGGTTAGCTGTTGTGTTATGTTTTTGTTATATATAGCTTGGCCATCCAGGTTTTGTTTATAACCTTCCATAAATCACATCTAGGTTTTTATTTGTGGTTCTCGATAGTTTGCCTCTAGTTGTTGTTGTTAATAGCCCTCAGAAGTCTCTGGACTGCATGGGACGTCAACAGAGTAGCCTAGTGTTTAGATGCTTTATCTGTTACTAGTCTGTTAGCATATGGTTGTGACTCATTACATCCATGGCCTGTCTGAGGGCTGAGTGTGGGGAGCTATGATATGTGGGCTCTCCAGGGGGCTGAGTATGGGGAGCTATGAGACATGGACTCTCCAGGGGGCTGAGTGTGGGGAGCTATGATACGTGGGCTCTCCAGGGGGCTGAGTGTGGGGAGCTATGATACGTGGGCTCTCCAGGGGGCTGAGTATGGGGAGCTATGAGACATGGACTCTCCAGGGGGCTGAGTGTGGGGAGCTATGATACGTGGGCTCTCCAGGGGGCTGAGTGTGGGGAGCTATGATACGTGGGCTCTCCAGGGGGCTGAGTGTGGGGAGCTATGATACGTGGGCTCTCCAGGGGGCTGAGTGTGGGGAGCTATGATACGTGGGCTCTCCAGGGGGCTGAGTGTGGGGAGCTATGATACGTGGGCTCTCCAGGGGGCTGAGTGTGGGGAGCTATGATACGTGGGCTCTCCAGGGGGCTGAGTGTGGGGAGCTATGATACGTGGGCTCTCCAGGGGGCTGAGTGTGGGGAGCTATGATACGTGGGCTCTCCAGAGGGCTGCTTCAGCTAGAACTTGGACCTTGTGTCTGTCCAGAGTATTTTTTTAAATCAAGGCTTCCCTACTGTCGGGTTACGACACACTGCAGTAATGGCTAGTATTGGAGACGGAAATAAAAAAATTCTATCTGCGTAGAATAGGGATTGCCATTGTTTTGGAGAGGTTCTCCATGTGACCCAGAGTTCTGGAACAGTGAGACTATGAAATCCCTTTGAATGGGACACAACTGGCTTTGGCTGGGGCCTCCTCTGGCTCTAGCAGACACACTCTCACACACACACACACACACACACACACACACACACACACAGCTGGCTTCGGCTGGGGCTCCTCTGGCTCCATCTCATGGACATGGCTCCACGAGGGGAGGAGAGGAGGGTTCCGTAAGACATTATTTGAAGGTCCGTAATAAACCATTTATAAGGCATTAATAAATTGTGTGTTCACCATTTATTGATCGTTACTCCCACATAAACCATTTACTAATCATTCGTAAAGTATTTTTGCAGTCCCTAATCTAAAGTGAGTGCTATTTATACTATAAATGTTTTGCGTGACCAGTGTAATTTCTCACAAAAAGATGGGCATGCCATTGGCAGACATTCCTGCTGTACCTGGTAAAAGAACAAGCACACAACACAGGATGTTTAAGAAACTATACTTACAGTGGTGTGATAGTGTTTGCCCCCTTCCTGATTTGTTATTTGTTTGCATGTTTGTCACACTTAAATGTTTCAGATCATCAAACAAATTTAAATATTAGTCAAAGATAACACAAGTAAACACAAAATGCAGTTTTGTTATTAAGGGAAAACAAAATCCAAACCCACATGGCCCTGTGTGAAAAAGTGATTGCCCCCTACAACCTAATAACTGGTTGGGCCACCCTTAGCAGCAACAACTGCAATCAAGCGTTTGCGATAACTTGCAATGAGTCTTTTACAGCGCTGTGGAGGAATTTTGGCCCACTCATCTTTGTAGAATTGTTGTAATTCAGCCACATTGGAGGGTTTTCGAGCATGAACTGCCTTTTTACGGTCATGCCACAGCATCTCAATAGGATTCAGGTCAGGACTTTGACTAGGCCACTCCAAAGTCTTTATTTTGTTTTTCTTCAGCCATTCAGAGGTGGACTTGCTGGTGTGTTTTGGATCATTGTCCTGCTGCAGAACCCAAGTTCGCTTCAGCTTGAGGTCACGAAAAGATGGCCGGACATTCTCCTTCAGGTTTTTTTGGTAGACAGCAGAATTCATGGTTCCATTTATCACAGCAAGTCTTCCAGGTCCTGAAGCAGCAAAACAGGCCCAGACCATCACACTACCACCACCATATCGTACTGTTGGTATGATGTTATTTTTCTGTAATGCAGTGTTACTTTTACGCCAGATGTAATGGGACACACACCTTCCAAAAAGTTCAACTTTTATCTCGTCAGTCCACAGAGTATTTTCCCAAAGGTCTTGGGGATCATCAAGATGTTTTCGGGCAAAGATGAGACGAGCCTTAATGTTATTTTTGCTCAGCAGTGGTTTTCATCTTGGAACTCTGCCATGCAGGCCATTTTTGCCCAGTCTCTTTCTTATGGTGGAGTCATGAACACTGACCTTAACTGAGGCAAGTGAGGCCTGCAGCTCTTTGGATGTTGTTGTGGGGTCTTTTGTGACCTCTTGGATGATTCGTCGCTGCGCTCTTGGGATAATTTTGGTCGGCCGGCCACTCCTGGGAAGGTTCACCACTGTTCCATGTTTTCGCCATTTTTGGATAATGGCTCTCACAGTGGTTCGCTGGAGTCCCAAAGCTTTAGAAATTGCTTTATAACCTTTTCCAGACTGATATATCTCAATTACTTTCTTTCTCATTTGTTCCTGAATTTCTTTGGATCTCGGCATGATGTCTAGCTTTTGAGGATCTTTTGGTCTACTTCACTTTGTCAGGCAGGTCCTGTTTAAGTGATTCCTTGATTGAGAACAGGTGTGGCAGTAATCAGGCCTGGGTGTGGCTAGAGGAGTTGAACTCAGGTGTGATAAACCACAG